ATATTAATAAGTACTGCAGTCTTATGTCTGTTTGGGATTTTGCATTAGAGGAAATACTGGATCCCAAACTGGTGGTACGGAGAAACCATCTTCCCTGTTGAAATTAGGATGTTTTTTAATTTCAATGGCCTCTCCAGCATCCTGGGTAGATAACGGACTTCTTTTGCAAGGACTCGGGGTTTGTCAAACTTCTTTGAATGTGTAGTTTTATCCATGACATGCTCGCAGACTGCAGACTTGTTTACGCGACGGTGTTTGACATCAGTTATATGTTCTTTGACGTGGGTACAAATACTTCGCTTTGTTTGTCCAATATAAGAGAGACCGCACTCATAGTCACGCTTGTAAACTCCTGCATCCTGTAAGAGGATGTTACATTTCACGGGTCTCAGGAACTGAGAAATCTTCCTCAAAGGCTTGAAATAGGTCTCGATAGATGCACGCCTGAGGACTCTTCCGATCTTGTCTGTAACACCTCTCACGTAAGGTAAGATGGCAGGTCTTCGCTCGACTGTTGGTGGTTTCACACGGGGCCTGCGGTATTGGCGTGGAATCTTCAACTTATTCGCATGTAGGACTTGCTTTATATGCTGAAGTTCCCCTGCCAGATGATTACTGTCGCAGACACCAATTATGCTCTCTAAAACAAAGATTTGTTTTTTGATTTCCTATGTATTTATTCTTATGTGCAATAATAGTAGATGTTGTACAACAAGTGCATAAAACGCGTCAATTTCCCCGAGACGAGTATATCCGAGGATAGATACTTAAGTCTAGGGTAAATTGGGTTTTATGAACGAATTATATATATATACACTCTGCTTTTCACTTTTTTTGCGAGGAAATTAAACAGCAATATTATAAATAAACGATTATTTAATTAAAATTGAATGTAAAATTACAACAATTAGACATATTATATATAATATCAGTCAGTCGGTTGTTGACGAACCGAACGCACGCATACACTGACCGCTTACGCGTTATCGCACGATACAGGGACCGTCAACTGATTTCTCGCCTGGACCGCTTGTACCTAACCGAAATGTTCAAATGCAATAGCTGTAATAATCAGTTCCGTGATGGAGCTCTCTGCTCTATTTGTCAAGGACACTACGACTTCGCCTGCGCAGGAATTACGGAAACGGGATACCGCAGACTAGGAGAGAGAAAGTCTATGTGGAGGTGTCCTACCTGCAAGAATTCTAGATCAGAAAGCCCGCTCCCACCTCTTCTGAAGTCCCCTGTACCAGCGGATATGGACACCGTGATGGCGGAGCTTAAGCAACTCTCCGCACAAGTGGCCTTGCTTCCAGAGCTAAATGCTAGCATACAAACAATCAAGGCCGAATTGTCCGAGCTAAAGACAATAAAGACTGAAATGTCTGACATCAAGACTTCCATCGAGTTTGTAGACCATAAAATAGGGACTCTCTCTGATAGGATTGGTGAAATTGAAAAGGACATATTGCATCTTCAGAACACAAGACATGACGTGGACTGCTTGCAGTTGCGTGTAGAGAAATTGGAGCAGCAGCTAAAAGATAACGATCAACGTTCACGTCTTAACAACGTAGAGATCAAAGGTGTTCCAGTTTCTCAGACCGAGAACCTTTTCAGCATTATAGCTAATATTGGGGCTCACATCAAGTGTGTTTTACCGAAAGAGCAAATTAACTATATTGCCCGGGTGCCCATGCGCAATGACAAAAACAATAAAACAATTGTGGTAGGTGTACACAGCAGATACGTAAAGGATGAGTTTGTTGCTGCCGCAAAAAAGTGTACCACAATTGCTACTGATTTGGGACTCCAAGGTACCAACCGGGTATATGTTAATGACCATCTCACACTAGACAACAAAATATTGCTCAATAAAGTCAAGACGACGACTAAGGACCGTGGGTACGCATTCACTTGGGTCAAAGGATGTAAGATCTTCGTGCGAAAGAGTCCTGCTTCTCCCGTGATAGTTATTAAATCAGAATCCGATTTAAAAAACTTATAAGTTGCTGTATAGCTTGCCTAACATTTGCTATTTTCCTATCCGCAACCATTGCGGACCTTACTGTTCTACAGTTGGCGTGCGCTGACTTGCTAACCGGTTTTGTTTTACTCAGTGCAACTGCTTGCGCTCGCCTATTGCTACCGCTACCTTCAAAAGTAAGTTTAATTGTCATTTTCTGTTATTCCTTTTGTATCACTAATTGCTTTATTGCCGTTTTGTTACTAATTGCCCATATTCTGCAACTTCATTGTTATTTTGACCTTGCCTTTATTAAAATTAAATTTACGTATTTTTTCAAATCTACTCGCATGCTAATACATTTTTCTATTAATAATGAACCCATTTAGAATTTATTATCAAAATGTACGTGGTCTTAGGACTAAAACTACCACATTCCTTAGAAATATTTCTTTATGTTCGTATGATATTATTTGTCTCACGGAGACCTGGCTAAACGATGGCTTTTATAATAGTGAATTGTTTGACGATCGTTATATGGTCTGGAGACGTGATCGAAATTACGAGTCAACTGGCCAGATCATGGGGGGCGGGGTTCTAATTGCTGTGCGCAAAGACCTAGCAGTACAAAGCCGGCCTGAATGGTCCTCAAGCGCCGAGGATCTATGGGTCACCTTATCTTTGAAAAATCGTAATCCTAGATCCACTTACAAAATGCATATTGGTGTAGTTTATATCTGTGATCAGAATCTCGGTAACTCAATGCCGGTTCAATTGTCTAATTTTGCATTGAATGTGACTAAAATCACATCACATAACCCTTTAGACAAAATAATCATATTTGGCGATTTTAATCTGCCTTTTGTCTCGTGGACTGTTGATATCAATGATGGAATATCTCTTATCCCTTCCAATCTCCAAGGTCCACACCAGCTACAATTAATTGATAATTTTAATACATGTTCTCTCTCACAATATAACTCTTTTGCGAACGACAGCCATGGTCGTATTTTAGATTTAATTTTTTCTAATAATGTAGTTCATGTTCATGCTTGTGACCGTCCGCTTATCCCAGAAGATCCCCACCACCGCTCTTTGGTAACTACTGCGGAATTTGTTCAATTGCATACAATTAAGCCGCGCCAATATATTAAGTACTTGTATAATACTGGTAATTTTGATTCAATATGTGCGGACTTGGATGCTGTCAGTTGGCATTCCGAGCTTAATAGTCGTGGTATAGAAGATGCGGTATCATTTTTTTTATAACGCTATTTATGGCTTGCGTGATAAATATATTACTACTACTGTAGTCTCGCCTTCTCATAAGTACCCTTTATGGTATAAGCGACCTTTAATTAAATTATTAAGAGAAAAGTCGAAGTTTCATAAAAAATATAAAACTTATGGCAATGCTTATGATCGTGACTCATTCGTGTTATTGCGTAAGAGGGCGCGTGAGATGGAGGAAAATATGTACTTTACTTATATCTCAAATATTGAAAAGTACATAAAAGAAAATCCCCGCGCTTTTTGGTCATTTATAAAAAGTAAAAACCAGTCTAACTTGTACCCCTCTGTGCTTGAATACGGTAACCGTTCGTCTGACCAAGGTGACGAAATATGTAATTTCTTTGCGGAGTATTTTCATTCAACTTTTCGAAATCACACCCCCTCTAGCACCTTAATCGATTCAGTATCAAATGCTTACACCGACTCATGTGCTGATATATCTACTGTTGAGGTAATTGAGACAAATATCTTAAAGTTAATGAAATCTTTGGATTTAACGAAATCTGCAGGCCCGGACAACATTCCCGCAATTTTAATTGTTAAATGTGCAAAGAGTCTAGTTCTTCCACTCTCTCTCCTGTACCGGCGCTCTCTTTCAGAGGGTATTGTCCCAAGTATTTGGAAGACTGCCTTCATCACCCCTGTTTACAAAAAAGGCCCTAAAAACAAGGTAGAAAATTACAGGCCCATATCGAAGTTAAGCCTGTTTGCGAAGATTTTAGAAAAAATTGTCTATTCACGACTATATCCTTCGCTGAAACAGTGCATTTCGCAGGATCAGCATGGTTTCTTGAGAGGTAGATCAACCACTTCGAATCTTTTACTTTGTGCAGAATTTATTACTAAGTATATGTCTGAACCATCACAAGTTGATATAATATATACGGACTATTCCAAGTGCTTTGATCGAATCGATCATATTATACTACTACAAAAGCTTCAGAGAATAGGTATAAGAGGAGACTTGTTTAGATGGTTTTCTTCTTATGTTAGAAATCGATGTCAAACAGTCGTTTTAGGAGGTTATTCATCTTTGTCTATGGGCATCCCTTCTGGTTTACCTCAAGGATCATTGCTAGGACCCCTACTTTTCACAATTTTTGTTAATGATATCGCTTCCTGTTTTCTGAAGTCTAAAATACTTTTATATGCCGATGATATGAAAATTTTACGTAGAATTAATGATATTAATGACGCCCATTGTCTTCAGGACGATCTTATTAGATTTCAAAATTACTGCATTATAAACAAATTGGATCTTAATGTTTCTAAATGCTATGTAAGTACCTATACCCGAAAATCCACAAAAATATTATATAACTACACATTATATAATGCTTCCCTAACTCGAGTAGATTCGATTAAAGATTTAGGGGTGACTTTTGACAGTAAATTGATATTTGATCAACATATTGATAATGTTGTCAAAAAAGCAAGTCGTTCGCTGGGTTTTGTACTAAGAATGTCCTCGGAATTTAAAAGTATTAAAACTTTTAAAATACTTTTTTGTTGTTATGTTCGGAGCCACCTTGAATATGCCTCTCAGGTATGGAATCCTCGCTATGAAGCGTATTCTGCACGAATAGAATACATCCAAAAGAGATTTTTGCGTTACCTACAATATCGAGCCGGTATATTTTTGCCAAACTATGAGACTAGGTGTCGCAAATTTCACTTTCTGCCTTTGTACAGACGTAGAGAAATAGCAGATTTGACTTATATTATTAACATAGCAAACGGCACTATTGACTGCCCCGAACTCCTTGAGCGAATAGGACTACGCGCAGGCAAGGTTGCACTGAGAAATCATATAACCCTTTACGTTCCCATAGTTAGAACCAATTATAGGCAAAATGCATTTATAAGTAGAGCGTCTTGCTCATATAACAACTTATTGAATAAATATAGTGATGTAGACCTATTCAACACTAGTGCAAGTAAGGTAAAACGATTACTTAGTGATTATTTCTTTTCAAGCATTTAGCTGAATTTATAATGTTTTTAATGCTTACTATTCATTGTTTTTTAAGTCGTCAACTTCCTCTCCACCTACATTGTATCAATCTGTGGAAGCTTTTAATTAGCCCTCAGCATACATGCACTGATCTGTCAGGCATGTACTATATTTAAGCTTTTATTATTGTTACCTAGCTGTAAGTTTTCCGAATAAAATAAAAATAAAATAAAATAAAAATAAAATAATATCATGGTTTTTTCTTTTATACACTAGAGCATAAAATCCTATTTTATGCAGCCTACACCCAGCATAAATTCGAGCTTTAAGAGCACGAGAAGTGAAAACTATATAATTTGTTATTAGGTTTTCGCGATTGTTACACATAGGAAATGAAACTATTTTTCCGGATTTAAATCGCGTATATTTGTTTTTTCAAACAAACCGACGTTTCGGGCCCTTTACAAGTCCCATGGTCACGGTTGACTGAGGTGGTACAGTCTTCAACCAGTTATGTCTAATATTGATTGCAAACCACCCTATTTTTTCACTATAGTTACAATAGTTATTAATTAAACACCATATTTTGAATTGTACAAGGAAACATTCCAATTTACGCTACATTAAGTTTTACAAATTATTTTATTGAATGAATTTTTATTAAGTTCAATTTATTATTAATTAATAATAGAAATTAGAATAAACTCAAACATAAATTATGCGCGATTTAAATCCGGAAAAATAGTTTCATTTCCTATATATAATTTGTATTGTATTATTATTATATTATATGCGGGATAACAAATATACGCGATTAGGTACCTAGATCCGACAAAAATGGTTTCATTTCCATTTGTATCTATCCTGAATAACTAAAAACTCGATACTTTAGATCTGACAGAATATCGAATAATCAAAACAAATTTGGATTCTTCACCTAATACAATGTTTATTTAAGAATTAGAATCTGTGAATTTCAGGAACTTATGGTTATGGTCGAACGAGACATAATATTCAGAGAGGCGTTACGTGAGAGCTTATGGGATAGGTTCAATTACGAACTAGACGTGGCAGAAATGGACCCAGAGGAATTGATAATGAAGTAAGTATTTATCATTCTCTTCTAGTTCGAATTCTAATGCGACATTCATGAGCCTAAATTTTGGGCCAATAGCCCAGCACACTTGCCTGCCCATTGCCCATTCTCAAGTCTTTGAAAAGTTAAGTGAATCTTCTTCAACATGCAGGCTTAATCACTTTTTGCTTCACCGTCAAAACAACTGATAGTTTGTAGAAGCAGTAGTGTCGTCTCCTCCAAAGATAGGAAACGAACTCGAATCCTTTGACAGAACATTAGAAGGCAAGCGTTCTTCTAACTAAGCTACCAGAGCTTAAATATGTATTTACAATGTTTCAATTTCGTAAATGGAATGCTTTGCAGTCTGATAAGCGAAAGTTGCCAAGTGTGTCCAAAAACTTAACATGAATAGGGAACTACACGTGAGTCCATTTCTTATTAAAATATACGCGTAAACATTGCAGATATAAATCGCACTTATCACATTCGTCTTCAGAAGAAAGTGCAAATGAAGATTTTGACGTAGAAGACTACGTTTATGAGCCAGAGCAATACGTTACCTCAAAAACATCTTTATCCTCCGCTGTTATACCTGAGCCAATCAAAAAATATTATTTACCATTGACAGACGTCCCTCATCCGGACGACGTGGATTCTACCTATGATATGAAAAAGTAATTCTTATAATCTTTTTATAATATGTGTTAATACACCTAACATAAATACTAACTTTCAAAATTATTATTAGGGTGACTATTGTGCATACGAAGAACATTGTGGTATAACTTGACGTTAGTATGTTCAGGAATAGTCATAACCTCATAACTAACTAACTAGCCCTCCTTACCATAACTGACGCATTTGAATTTCGGTAACTTTCGAGATATTGGTACTTAAAGTTTTACTGTCACCAGAAAAATTTCAATTGCGATGAATTTGCTAACTATAAAACGAAAAGTAAATAAGAGATTAAAAACCGATTATACGAGGTTGTAGATCTCGTTTCGCTTATTCGCAATTTCGCAAAAAATGTCGATAACTTAGTTATGATAAGGAAGACAAAATAATAACGTGTTTTGACTATGACCTCGGGTCACAAATTGGGAAAATAAGTTTTCTAAATTCTCTTTATAATGGAGAGTGCTCAGACGAATTTTTCAAACTAGTCACGTTTCCACCATAGCACCACCCGCCAAAGGAGTCCATCGCCGCATCATTGAGGCATTGTAAGACCACTCAGGCATCACTTTCCTTCCTAGAGCTTGCAAGATGTGAATGATCTCCCTCTTGAAGTACTTGCTCTACGAACATAGGGTTTATTTTTTTATAATATCAAGCGACGGGACGGATGAGTCGTGCGCCTGATGGTAAGCTACACGCCTGTCCATAACAGTTGCAGTGCCACTCAGAGCTTTAAATCGCAAAGATCTGAGGGGCATTGCCACTGCGCCCGCCACTCTGAGACATAAGTTGACAAGTTACATGTGCCTGCAATTTCCCCAGCACCCTTACCTTTCAAAACCGGAAGACAGTAATGCTGACTTTACTGCTTGGCGGCAGAAATAGGTAAGGTAGCAGTACTACCCTGGACGAACTGTTTCATAAGGAGCTCTACTGCTACTGGGGTGTTCTTCAAAAAGCGAGTTAAAAAGCTCGTAAATTTTCAAAATTTTCGTTTTTTTAGGCAGCTCATATGATGCTGCAAATGTCCATGGGCGACGATGACTACCTCCCATCAAGTCACTCGTCTGCTCATCTACTTTACATTAAAAAAAACAAAATTAGTTCTAGTTTGGATGCTCTGGGTAGTGACCCAGATTTCGATACTCTGATACTCAATATAAGGAAATGCCTAGGGACCAGGTAATTGATATGGTTGTCTGACACGTTATTATATTATTTAAGTATACATATAACATATACATTGTAACATTAACTGTATATAACTGTATTATATATAACATTAAATGTACTTTTTCAGGTTTTTAAGAGGAGACTACTGCCTAGAGAGTGATATACAACAACAACATGGGAAGTCTCTTTTAACTATTTTGAAAATGCAGTCGTTCTCATCAGAATTGTTCCCGTTTGAAGCAAAATTAAATGACGGTTAATTCATCATGCATTATTTTACTATTATTATTATTAGGAAATTATAGAGGTAGGTCAATTTCAATGTCTTAAAATGGGCCAAGAATATTTACCAAAATAGACGATCGTTTATGAAAGGATGAAAAAGAAGTATGCCGAGACGATAGCAAATGGAGATTAGTAATCTGTAACCAAAATACACACGTGAAGATCACAAGTATATTTGTTTGAGACAGACAGAAGAAGACAACAATCCTTAAAATGGAATCTGAAAATAGTTTGTCAGAATGAACAACAGGAACAACTTTAGGAACTTTATATTTCTGTTCCCGCTGTTTCATTTTTAGGCGACTTCAAAAAAGGAGGAGTTTCTCAATTCAATTATATTTTTGTGTGTACCGATTTCTATGATTCTTGTTGGAAAGAAAAGAAAAGTTGAGGTACCTCAGTAGTGGTCACATTCAAACTTGAACAAAATATTCCACCTGTAATGGTGGCAAATTATTATATGTATCCGGTATAATGGTTTTACTCACTTTCCGTTAATCGATTTCAATAAAACTTGGTAAATAGATGTAATTCCACAAACTTTTGAGGTCGGTTTTTTCTTATAAAAAGTTATAGTTATAATGTAATAATTCTATGTACATAACCATAGCCCATGAACGAATTTAGATACCTACCTATTTTTTTTTTCAGATTATTCGAGTTTTATGGAAACAGAAGAACTCAGACAATATATGAAGTAAGTATAATTCAAACGGATTAAGACTTTACTTATCTTCAATATTTCATATTATTAATATAATATAACATGACATGACATGACGTGACGTGACGTGACGTGACGTGACGTGACGTGGCGTGGCGTGGCGTGGCGTGACGTGACAATATAAGTTTAATTTCAGAGGTAACCTGGACCGCGTCAGTTTTGCCGGAGACATTATTATGGGTATCTCGAGAGGATATGCAACGATTAATATTTTCGAGAATGTCAATAAGTAAGACATAGTTATTATTATTGTTAAACATTTTGTTATAATGCCGATTTCAAGGGCGCCCACTAACGGGACGGCACGACAGGAGATTTTTAGGTGACGGGTGACGAATAGGAACTATAGGCGAAAGGTGTACGAGATAATCCTTGGAGGTAAGATGATCCTTTTCAATTGTAGCGAAACTAGTAACGTCATCCAGATATTTTCTTTAGTAAAATTTAGGCCTCAATGTGCCGTCTCATCAGACATTTCGTAATAGCGATGTGAGTGAAGAGTTCATTTTTGTGGAAATAAAACAAAAATTGTGTGAGTTTGTTCTAAGGTAAAGTTGATCAAAAGCTTAGGCAACTTCCATTCTTAACAATCAATTGCTAAGATTTTTGTGTTGGTGAGTTTGTATAATGCTCTATTTACTTTTTTAATGGCGCGGTAACAGTAGACAGCATACAGGTTATTTTGCCGAACAAAAAATAAAAATAAGTAAATTGGGGCAAGATGATTATGGTTTTGGTGTACAAGATGATCCGTGGGTATCTTCTTGTATTGTATATATTGTTAACGAACTATATTTAATTTGTATGTTTTTCTGAGTACTGAAACCTCTTAATTAAATAGCTTGCAATACGAATAAAATAGTAGAAGACTGGATTTCGTTTACATGATCGATCTCGCTGAATAACAAATATGAATGCTTTTTCTTGTTTTAAACCAGGCCGCGTAATTGTAAAAGAAAACCCATTCGTGGTGGTTGGTCGGAAGACAATGGTCTAAAGAACTAGAGGCGTAAAAAGTAGGACGCCACATAGATCGGCAAGTAAATAGTTAGCAGTAGGTACGCGTTATGTCATTAAAAAGACGGGCTAAAGGAAAAAATAAAGGGTCTGTCAGTTCAATGAAATATTTAGGTGAAAAAAAAACTGTTTTCATCAGATGTGTTAAACAGGAAATCGAGCTCGTAAAGTACATTAAAGAAATGGAGATGAGGATGGATATCAACTTGCCATAAAAAGCAATATCGCCCAATCTTAGTTACTTGTAAGATATAAATTAATTAGGATTATTTGTTCTCGAAGTTCCGTAACTGTTGTTTCACATACCTAGATTACATAAGTGAGGACTTTGTGAAGTTTAAAAAGTTGTTGTTTTCATTTGTTTCTACCAAAACCTAGAAATTTTCCTAAATAGAGGCAAGGTGATCCCCTGGATCATCTTGCCCATACTCTTAGGATCATCTTGGACACCCCGGTGTCCGAGACGATCCTTTAGTAGACTTTTAAAAATATTGAAATATAATAATGAAAGATCAAAAAATAAAACTTTTTAGTAAGACAACATGTAAATAGATAAATTTTCAATCATTCAACGCTTTTATATCTGCTTTAAGCTGAACATCTTTTAAACTACCACCATTCTCCCTTAAGGGGATCATCTGGTACACCTTTCTGTGGAAAGGTGTACCAGCAGATCGATTCAGAACCTTACGATAACGCAGTTGTCAATCGATTCGGTTTAATATCGTACGATTTCTTTTCATTTTTATTCACAACATCCGAATCGAACGTCAAACTGTCGTATTCGAAACCGGACCGAATTGACGTCACACCCGTACGATTACTCGAATTTCTCGACCTACAAAGGCTACAAACGTTATTCAGAACACACTAAGCAAGAATGTAATATGGAATTTTCTTATTATTTTAAATAAAGTCGGCATTATGTTCAATTTTATTAATTTATTTTAATGCAAGACTAAGGCATTCCTATATTTTAGGCCTTTAAAACCTCAAAAAAATGTGTCAAATAAAGTTACTTCCAGATAAAATTAGTACTAGACCCAGAGTCAATTTCCATTTTTAATGTCGTTCTACTATTAACTATGATCGGAATGAAATACCCACGCACCTCAGGTTGAACATCTGACACTCCTTACACTCGCGGCAATATATTCCCACTTGTTGCTCGTCCGAATTAGATTCTGTTTCTAAGTTGATATTTTTGACGGTTTTTATTTTAGCACGGCACATTTTCTTAGGATGGCCTTTTCCGTGGCACCTTTGGCAGCAGTAGTTTTTGTATCGGCACCTCTGAGTCTCGTGACCCTTCATGCCACATATTGCGCATCGCTCTCTAAAATCTTGTTTTCACGGTACCGCACCAGCCCGGCCAGTGCCTGACCACAGCAGCGGTTCTTCTTTTAAAGCAGCGGCGTTCACCAAAGCACCCGGCGCGCGGCGCCATAGCCCGTGCCTCTCTCGCGATCACAGTCTGCTTTGCTATTTCTAATGCTTTGGTGAATGTCAGTTTGTTTGCGTCCTGGTCACACAATCTGTCTCGTACAGCTCCCATACTCAGCCTGAGTACAAATTTGTCCCGATACACCCTGTCCAGGGAGGCTCCAAAGGCGCAATGCACTGCTAAACCTCGTAATCGAGCCGCCCAATCCTCGACAGTTTCCTCCACTGCTTGAACAGCGTTGTAAAAGTTACCTAAGCCGGCAAATGTCGCCCGCGTAGGAGTCAGGTGTTGGTCGAATACCAACTCATCGAAGTTTCCACCTCTTTCGGATGACTGAGATTTCGTAATAGTAGATACGTACCATCCGATAGATAAGTGATAAGAACTGCACGCTTCTTTTCCTCGGTCTGAATGTCCGGTGTGGAGCGCGACATTCGTGTACCGCCACCCGCCCGTGTCGCTACAGTCGAAAACAGCATATACAAACTTAGGCACTTTGATCAAGTCGCGCAAGCCGCCACCTGCGTCGCTGTCGCCACCGCGCCACTGCCCGCTGTGTCGTCCAGTTTGCAGCCTTTTAGACTAACATTTGAAAACGCGTTTAAATATTTATAGGTATTTTCACACGTACCTATTTTCCCGACGTTTCGGCCAAGTTGCACTGGCCGTGGTCACGGGCTGACTGGTCATGCGGTGTTACATCTTCATCTCAGCGAACGAATCTTCATCCACATTCGCTATATTTTTCAAATTTTAAATTTCAATGATATTACTCGTAGCTACGAAAACAAAGTTTTGGTAAGATTAAGGATTCCGAGCCGACAGCCTCCGGAATGCCTCGGCAGCTTTCAGGATGCTTCGGCAAGCTAAGAAGTAATCTGCATAGAAGCTGGGCGCAATGTCGCAACGGTATTCTTCGGCATGCCTAAGAATATCGCTGTATATTTGCCGTCGTGTACGCTTGCGTGTAAGAGTGCCGAAGGATCTCTTGCCATATCGTCCTGCTAATGGGTGCCGGGTCTTAGGGCAACTTGATCAGGGCTCCGAGTCTTGAGACTCTACTGAGATTATATTGAAATTATCATAATACACTTCCGGACACATAATTCGAGCCACTAATTTCTTAAACTTAGACAATGTTTGATTGATCAAAAACTTTTATGCAATTTTGAAACTAGTATACTAAACGGCTTTTCCATAAGTCCTTGTTGGGAATTTGGATTTGCAAAACCGGGGGATAACTTTTTCTTCGATGACAAAACTATTTTTGTATTCTAGCCCTTTACGACAAAAATGCGAGGTGGCTCGAATTATGTGTCCGGGAGTATATTTGTTATTCTGCTGAAACCGTTGCGATGGCAGTTGAGTTTCGTAGAATGTCAGTGGAATGGCAGTGATGTGGCGTTGATTCCTTCAATCACTTACGATTGATGTTGACTTACTAAAACTACTATGGAAATTACTATGAATATCTTAATTTTTATCTCGTTCGATTAGCCATTTAGTCTTCAAATTAAATATATTTTTTTATGTTAAATGATTAGTAGACTGACACGACACTGACGTGCCATCGCCTCGCCATTAAAGAACATAATACCAAAAATTGCAATGGGACGTAAATAGTAACACGATGGCTAACCACTCACAAGCCATTACTCTTAACTTTTGGCAGAATACCAAATGTACAAAATTACGTCATTGACACTCTATCGGCACACAACTAAGATGATTTTAAATTAGCAGACTTAGGGGTCGATTCAGAACCTTACGATAATTCAATTGTCGACCGATTCGGTTTGATATCGTAAGATTTCTTTTCATTTTTAACCGACTTCAAAAAAAGGTGGTGGTTCGCAATTAGACTGCATGTTTTTTTTGTATGTATGTTACGCGATACTTCCGGCATTTGCGAACCAATTTTGATGATTTTTTTTAATTAGAAAGAAGGCACCTCTAATGTGGTCCCGTTTAAATTTGAAGAAAACATTCCACCTCCAAGGGTGGCAAACTAGGGGATGAATGACTTTTGAGGTCGGCTTTTTTTATTTACAACACTCGAATCGAACGTCAAATTCTCGTATTCGAAACCGAACCGAAATGACGTCACACCCGTACGATTACTCGAAATTCTAAGGCTACAAACGTTATTCAGAACATAGTTATCGAATGAAAGTTACCGAACGTCCTATTGTTTACAAAGCAAAAATGTAGTACTCGTATGGAAATCTCTCATTTTTAAAATAAAGTCTGGATTTTGTTTAATTTTATTAATTTATTTTAATGCAAGACTAATGCATTCCTATTTTTAGCCTTTAAAATCTTAAAAACTTATATATAAAAGGATTTTCATTTTTCTTATAATCTATTTCACTGGCTAACTCCGAAAACGCTGTTGGATAACGATACCGTATCCGAATCCGAATCGAACGTTTAACTCGAATGTTCTGAATAGCTTCGGAAATCGCCCTTCGATTCGAGAACGATATCCAATCGAACGATTCGGTTAAAATATCGAAGAGTTCTGAATCGGGGTCCTGGTTGCTCTTAGTACACAGGTAGCACACTTATTGTGGATAATTCAATAATCGAAATTACTGTAAGGGGTCAATTTAAAACGATTCCTATTTACTAAAACTTGAAAACAAAATAAATCAACGACATTATGATATTATTTTATTCATCCAACGTACAACCACCAAGCCTTTTCAAGCCTTCTTGTGAAGCCTGCTCATTTTCTTTGACGATATATTATGGCGCATACTTTATAAAAGCCAAGAAACTTAAGAACCCCAATTTAGAGCATCTCTAAAAAAATTCAGTGACTTTCACTTAATATCCAAAATAATATTAAACTGTCTTTATATACAGGGTGGAAAAAAAATCATCAATCCAGGACACCTTTAATTGTAGGATCTAAGGTTCTTTGGCGAGATTTCATCGATATCATTGATTATTTCAATTAATATAATAAAGTAGTGTTTATTTTTGCATTTTTAGTTGGATCGATTTTCGCTTCAGGTAAGATTGTCAAAAAATCTATGAATTCAGATATTCATGTTCAGAAAAATAAAACAATATTTCCTTTAAGTAAAATATTAGTCCCCTTCATGTCCTATTGATTTTCTCCACTCTGTATAACGCATTCGCTAAACTGTACAGTCCCGCCGAAATATTATATCTAAAGTCTACAGGGGAAGTCAAAACGTAACTTGTTGTAAAATGTGTTATTTATTTTTTGGTGTAATGTGTTTTGTCATAATTTTAGACGAATTTCAGGTCTGAAATCGTTAACTTAGCCGACGAAGAGCTTAGAAGACTGAGGTAAATAACAAATTATGTTCTTTTTAAGTTCTCACTTGTTCGTTTAAGGAAAAGCTCACTGCCTTAGTTTCGTGCTCAGTTGTCATAATTTTATAGACACCGCTAAGGTCAAGCCTATGAATTTATGGACTGCTCCATATGATGTGACCTACTGATAACCCTAGTCAAATACTGGCGTTGATACTCCAAAAGGAAATACGGGCGAAAAAAAGAAAATAAAAACTTTTAGTAGCATTAGAGCTCGAAAGAGTTCGTGCAGTGAAGTACTGCCACCTTACGTATTTCTACCATCAAGCAGTAATGTGATCATGAGCATTATTTCGTTCCAGTTTTGAAGGGTAAGGGTGCTGGTGAAATTACAGGCACATAGGGCTTGTTAACTTGTCTAATGACGAGCGCAGTGGCAATGCCCCTCAGATTTTTGTGATTTAAAGCTCTTAATGACACTGCAACTGATATGGACAAACCTATTGCTTACCACATACGTACCACCAGACGCACGACATGTTTGTCCTGTCACTTAGTATTATAAAAAAGCATTGTAGAATCGCGCAAACAATGAACCATCCGCGCCTTCATTGCGGTCAGAGCCTAAAGCAGCCAGTACAAATATCACTCCAGTAAACATCATGTAATATTATTAATGAGCACTTAGGTAAAATTTACGATTTTTTTAAATTGTTGCAGACTCATCGACGCCCAAGTTCGGGAAAACCAAAGGTTTATTCTGTTTTTCTCTGTGTTAATATTACTAACATAATTATATAACAATAGCCAGGTTGTTACTTACATTAATTATTTCATTAAATATTAATAACAGTACAGCGTTATTAATATTAGCATAGTTGATAACATAATCTTTTTAGGCTCAATTTAGATTGCCGAAAAGCGGATTTTGGTAATGAAATCGTACGTAGCGTAATGAACTTTCTATCCATTGGTGCAAACAAGATACGATACGATAGCGCGAGAATTTTCCGAAAGACGCGTGACTAATTTTTTGGATCGTATCTAGTTTCATTTTACACAATTGACATAAAGTTCATTATACCTAATATAAGTAGTTAAAAAATCGCTTCCACATCGTTCCGTGACAATGTAAATTGAGCCTTATGTGGATAGATATATAGATAATAAGTATCATGACTTTTTAGATCTGAAGGAATTAATTTGTAATAGAAATAAGCAGTAGGTTTTATTTGTGTTCATTGTAGGGACATACGCATTTGTGTGCGTGTAAGATTGCCAAATGCTGCGAATAAACTCCCGAATATTTTTTTTTTGCTTTCTATAATACTGTTACAATCTGGAAGCCTACCTGACATAATGGAACAGCAACCGTTACACGTCAACTGTTCAGATGTAATTAATTAAGTAAAGTTTAATCGCAAACATTATGCTAGTAAAAGCTAAACTTAGTTTTTTTGTATGTATGTTACGCGATAACTCCGCCATTTGTGAACCGATTTTGACTATTATTTTTTTGTTGGAAAGAGGGTACCTCAAGTGGTCTCATTTAAATTTGAATAAAATACTCGACCTCTAAGGGTGGTAAACTAGGGGATGAATGACTTTTGAAGTCGGTATTTTAGTACTTTGTACTGAGGTTAGGTTATTTCGGAAGGTGTCTGTGTGCTCTTTGACATTTTGTGAGGGGTTCAAGACTAAGCAAAGGTTAAGAAACCCTGCATTAAATAGACTAACTAATATATTTTCAGAAAAGTGTATATAAGTGAACCAGATTTAGAAGTGGACCGTCGACCTATTAAGAGACGACAGACTGGTTTCACTCACCCTGAACAGTTTGAGGAACTGCTTCATGTCCGAGACTCATTTGTGAAAGTTTCAGACTCACTTAAGCTACCCATTAAATTTCATATCAAAAGCACCAGGTATTCAAACTCAGAATATATTTTTCTACTCCTGTACTTTTATCTGTCAATTATAATTTCATAATCCATATTACAAAATCGCTCTTTTTAGTTCTGAACCAAAATTCTATTGTCTATTGGCGCTCCTTCACCGCGAACATGCTCTTGTACTTGTACCACTTAAATAAAAACAATATTAAAATGTGAACTATGAATATATCGCTACTCAAACGCTCTACTGCCTCCTGATTGATTAAAATATAGTGGCACTTGGCCAATCACCCTACATATAATTAGAGTCTATACAATCATTATTGTATCTACTTTTTATAATTTAATACAAAACTTTTACTGAAATTGGTAGTAGTAATTTGGCTGTAAAACATTGCCAAATTATTACTACCAGCCACTTGTAGCCAGCGCAGCGTAACACTCAGTTGAAAAAATTCTTATTTTATACAGCCACTTAGGAGTAAATGCAAATGTAACAATGTCCGATGAAACCACAACGGCACAAGGTCAACGAAAGATTATTAGAAGGCCAACGACCTTCATTAGTGGGGTGCCCGTTAACGATGACAATGATGTCGGAGACGACTACTACACACAAGACACAAGATTAGCAGGCTCTGTCCCGGATTTAATTAATGTCAAGGAAGAAAGCCGGTAAGCGAGAGAACCTTTTTTTTGTTGACTCGGGGGAATCTGCTTACAGATCCCCGCGAGGATGCTCGCGGCACAGTCCCGCTCAACCCGGACCAACACCAAGACGAGCGCGCGCGGCACGCCCTCCTCATCGGGCCATCGATTGGCCCGTGGGTTCCTTTTAGCTTCACCGTGGGATGAAGTCGACCACGGCTACTGAGCCCCCCGCCACTACAAGGCAGGACCCCATTCGAGGAAGCGAGCGAACCCAAGCCAATCTAAATAACTGAGAGTTATTTTTCCCGTCTTACAATTACCGTTCCTTTAGCTAATTAAACTTTTACCATTGACACTAGGAAATTTTTTTTTTTTTTGGTATTTTCGAGATTCGAGACTGATGTTTTCAGTATAAATATACTAAACCGACAGTCATTTTTACTCTGGTTTACGAATATGACAACACTGTTAAGTGGAGCATAGTATTAATCTGTGGAGAATGAAGAACGACATAAATAAGAGTTACGCTTCCATATTTATTTGGCGCACGGCTATAAAGTGGAAATCCCTGCCTGCAGACTTGTTCCCTGAGGGCGCATTTATTCGACATGAATTTCATTGCATTCACACGGAGTCCGCGTTGCCGCCGCGCAGCGACCGCGTGCGTCTAACTGTAATAGCAAAATACGCTCTATTTGTTTACTTTTTACGTTTAACTTATATAATTTGTATTTTATAATTTGAGTTAATAATAACTTAAAATACTGTTTTGACTGCCTAAATGCCCATAAGTATAGAAATAACAGTAGTGGAGTAATTTCACAAGAATGAAATTAATACAATGGTAGTAAAACATCATAAAGCCCTGCGCAGACGGCACACTTTTTGTGCGATCGAGTCTGCGGCGCACAAAAAGTCTGCATGGCGCGCAAAAAGTCGGTCGCGGATTTTTCACAGACTCAACGCACACGACGCACATCTTCGCTCATTTTGTCGGCAGAGCTGTAGGGACGTAGACGCTATGGAAATCGTGCAGAGATCGCGAAGTGAAGAAGAGATCAAACATGTCCAAACAGGAGCGGAATAAACATTACAGCACACTTCTTCCCACATTTTTCTTTTTAAATGTCTATCATGATATTCTGCCTTAGAAGTATCATAAATTGCTGGTCTGTTTTGTATTTCTTGAATTAACATAGTTACATCGACCTCTGGCGCCATGATAATAGATCGCATGCGTTACGTCCACCCCTAGCAAATGCAGATTGACGACTAAAGTGTGCGCCGTCTGCGTTAGCGCGCGTTGAAGCAAACGTTCAATGTTTTTCACACACTTTTTGTGCGGAGCGGCGCGGTGCGGTCTGCCCGAATTACACGGATTTTTTGTGCGCCGGACTTTTTGCGCGTCGTGTGCGTTACTGCATATAATTGCATAGGTTCTATTTTCACAGACTAAAAAGTGCGTCACGGATAGTCTGTCGTCTGCGCAGGGCCTAATAGTCATTACAATCAATATTACAATTTATTTATAAAGCCACATCACTCCATTCTTGGTCAACCTGTGGATAGCTAAAAGTACCTGGTTGAGTGAAGAAAATTTTTCATAGATTTGTCACAGATGGCGCTACGGCAAAAAAGTAAAAATCAAAAACAAAGATCTATAACAAACGCGTTGAAAAATCGTAAGGTCTACTAATTCGATCTATAGCTCAGTTGGTAGACCGACCGCGCTGGTATGATCAGACAGAGGTTCGAGACAGGTCAGATAGAAGGAAATTCTCATATTGTTCAATCTTTGTATTATTAGTATTTATAACCAACTAGTGGAATAAATTCGTAAAAAATAAATTAATAATAAAGTAAAACATTAATATTCATTACAAGATGATTACAAGCTATATGTGAATCTACTTTTGAAATAAGTAGGTCTCAAAAGCCTCGGTTTTTCTCGGGATTTTGAAAAACGGAGATGAGGCTACTCAAAGGAATCAAAGCCAACTAGGACATATGGTAATTCCCTTTGTTGGAGGTCATTGATTTGCGATGCAGGTGCCCAAACCTACACTAATATGATTTTAAATTCCTCTAGAATTGTTCGTATAGACTCTGCCAAATTAAATTCACCACCATGCCTTCCGATTGCACGACGCCTCACTAGTTTCTCGAAGGAGTTTCTTGGAATAGAGGAAACTAATGCGGAAAAGGAGTATCTTTCTCGGAGAGACACCTATCGTTCCGTTGTCGATGAGGCACCTACCTTAAAGGATTACAGGTAAAGATTTTATTTATTTATACAACCATACAATACAGACTAAAGTAATTAATTACACAGAATTTTAAATAGAAAACCACCGTGGACTCAGACGTGTTAAGTAAAATAACGGATAACTCACGTATTTAAGTCGAATTTTTGCTCGACATGTTTCGAACCAATTCGTGGTCCTTAATCATGAGATTTCGCGGCGATGACTCGACGGAAACTTAAAATTACGCAGAATTTAAATTTACATGAGCAGTTCAGACAAGACAGTAGTCCATATACATCTTCGAAATAATAACAACTAAAATCCAAATATATATAGAACTGCCTCCGTGGCTGAGCGGTCACCATGCCGGACTGCCACGCAGAAGTCTCAGGTTCGATTCCCGGGCTGGAAGAAATATTGATATGGCCTACATTTATATCTCACGTGAGTGGATATAATTTGTTGTTGTCTATGTGTGGGTCCATGGCACCCGCGACTCAGGGTTTCCCTAGAGCGGAGCTATGTTGAGTGTGTGTGTAAATGTTAATCTTAATAAATACAAATATTTAACATTAATATAAATTTCATATCTGTAAAATGAGTGAATAAATAACATTGTTAAATATTGAAGCTTTAATTTTAGTAGCAGTAGAGCTCCTTGTGAAAGAGTTCATCCAAGGAAATACTACCACTTTACCTATATATGCCGCCAAGCAGTAATGTGAAATTACAGGCACATGTGACTTGTCAACTTACGTCTCAGGGTGACGGGCGCAATGACAGTGCCCTTAAGATCTTTGTGATTTAAAGCTCTGAGTGGCACTGCAACTGTTACGGATAGACGTGTCGCTTACCACCAGGCGCACAACTTGTTCTTCCCGTCACTTGGCATTATAAAAAAAAGTTAAAATACGTATAAAATACGTGTAAAATATAAGTAAAAATAATAGTAACTTGTAAGTTCATACATTCGTACACTGCATTTAGAACTATGTCTATTAAAAATATAAAGAGGTGACATATTTTAAAATTTTTCATGTTCATTCAATACATATAATCAAATCCGCCTGTCCTTATTAAAATGTGTATGAATAAAAATTGATTGCGATACTCGTAGGCTAACTATCAAAATAAGAATAAAGAAGCAACAAGAACAAAGAAGTAGGGCAATTAGAAATCATTCACAATTACGATATTTTTCGCAAAATTGTACCTTCTTTCACAAAAGGTCGATAAAACTGTCAACAACAGCTACGAGTACATAACTATTTAAAATTTTAGGAAAATTGGCAACTCTGCAAAAGTCCTTTTACTCCGCCTTCAAAAATGACAGACTACTGTTTTTTATTTTTCTTTAAATTAGATTAGATTAGATTAGATGAATGTTTACTTGCCAAAATACAGTAAATGTACAGGTCTTAAATTAAATTGGTACAATGTATTCAACCTGCATGCAGGTGTGCAAATATATTGGAATTTATTGGTACAAGTAATTGAAGTTAATTAAAATGTCAAATATTTCTAAATTCAAAGTATTCCTTATTACTATAGAAGCTCCAACTTACCTATCTTTTGATTATAAATATAGACACGCATAAGTTGACGATTCGTCTCGCGATGAGCGCTAAGACGCAAATCAACACATTGAGCTGCAGACAGAGGCTCTTGCGTGGCCAAAGGAATGGCAGTAGAGTGCGTAACTTGCGGAACGTCGATCTATTATCGTTCTAGAAATAAACACAAGTGAATTAATAATAATAATAACGCCTTAGAATAATAACGCATAGAATGATAGTTTCATAAAAAACGAACTGTCATAAGTGAGGCAAAAATCAAATTCATGTAGGCGTAAGCAACTTGTATTTACGCTCGTCGGCACGCACACACATATACAAATAATGATGCCCTGGAATAACATTTCCCTCAAAAGTGGGGACATTGTATCTTGCTTAACTCATCGTTAAGTTAGAGGTACACACATCAAAAAAAGTTTGCGATCACTTCGAAAAACTGAAATCTTTTTTGTTACTTTAGATAATATTATGATTTTTTCTTCTTTTTAGATTCTTTATTTAAAAATAAATTAGAACATAAAACAATGACCCCGTTCAATTGTTTTTTGTTATAAAAAGGCTTTCAGTTCTAGCTTACGCTCCTTCAGAAATCTGATTTAATCAATTATAAGCGATTCAAGATATTTTTCGCGGAAAGTTGTGATTGAAAAAATGCCAAGAGGATTATCAGAGGTTTTACGAGCTAGAATAGTAACTTTGAGGGAAGAAGGATACACCACGAGAGTAATAGCACGCAGACTTGCTATATCCCAATCCTGTGTCGTGGCTACGTTGCAGAGGTATCACGGAATGGGCAATTTAGCTGACCGACCCCGCAGCGATCGCCCAACTGTTTTGACAGCTGCCCAAAAGCGCTATATTAGATTGCTGGCAGCCCGTGATCCAACAATCAACGCCACTAAAATAAAAGCAGAAGTCAGGGCCGCCTCTGGGCTTGAAGTTAGCACGCAGACCGTTCGCAATTGCTTGCACCAGCCTGGATTACGAGCACGGAGGTCTTGGCGAGCTCCGCTCAATTCCCGGCAACGTCAACAACGAAGATTGCAGTGGGCTAGACTTCGGCAAAATGAAGAAGGTGAGGACGAAAACATTAGGCAAAACTGTCTCTTCGTTGACGAATCCCGAATCAGCACTCATCCAGATAACCGACGTGTCCGTGTCTGGAGAAGACCAGGCGACCGTGAAAGACAAAGAACTGCCACTGGAACAGTTCAGCAAGGCGGAAAATCGGTGTCCTTTTGGGGTGGCATTATGATTGGAGCTAGAACGCCTTTGATCCCGTATCGGGGCTTCATGACAGCAGACATGTACAAAGCAGTTGCTATTGATGATATCGTCAGACCATTCCGAGTAAACCATGGGCACCAATTTGTACTGGTCGATGATAATGCGCCCGCACATCGAGCTCAACGAGTCAATGCTGCTCATCAAGAATACGATATCACACGATTAGACTGGCCTGCCGGCTCGCCCGACTTAAACCCAATAGAGCACGCGTGGGATGCTCTTAAACGAGCAGTATGGAACCGTGAGCCACGTCTCCAGACAGTTCCAGAGCTCAGGGAAGCCGCTATTGAAGAATGGGATAGGTTACCCCAGGAAATGCTGGATAACTTGATCCTCAGCATGCCCAGGAGGATCTTCGCATGTATTCGAGCCAGGGGAGGAGTTATTTTATATTGAATTCACACCTTTTAATAATAAATTGTTGTTTAAGTTTAATTAAACAGTCTTTTTCTTTCTATGAAATTTCTATCACTATTACATTATGATTAATCGCTCAATTTTTTAAAATAAATAATAAAAAATAGTTTTATATTTTAATTTCAAACAAGGTATTCCTATTTAAAGAAAGCATACAACATAGATTTTTTCTTGATAAAGTTAAATTTAAAGAATTATAGGAGCTTATGCTATTGATCGCAAACTTTTTTTGATGTGTGTACCTACAGACTCGCTCGATTTTGTCGATCGTTACTGTCGATCAGGTGCCTACAGATATGCTCGATTTTGTCGATCGTTACTGTTGATCGACAACGTCAAGTGACAGGAATTTTCAAAAATTTATTTTTGGTAATCCTTATGGAAATGGAATTTATATCTGAATACACGAAGGCGGACACTTTTCTCATTTCTAAATCCAAGATGGCAGACACGTCTTTTCAAATAAATGCAATATGGGAATCGTTTTCGAGGTATTCGAGGTGCTCATCACGAATATGGCATTTATTTCTAAATCCAAGATGGCGGACACGGCTTTTGAAATAAATGCAATATGGGTATCATTTTCGAGGTATTTGGGGGTGCTCATTACGAATATGGCACTCATTTCTAAATCCAAGATGGCGGACACGATTTTTTATATAATGGCAAGTTGGGGATCGTTTTCGAGGTATTTGGGGGTGCTCATTAAGAACATGGCACTAATTTCTAAATCCAAGATGGCGGGCATGATTTTTCGAATAATGGCAAGTTGGGTGTCGTTTTCAAGGTATTTGGGGTTGCTCATTCCGAATATAGCACATATTTCTAAATCTAAGATGGCGAAGAATTAGAAGAAGAAGAATTAGAAGTCTTATCCGCCGTCTTGTATTCAGATTTACGTGTCATTTCCTTATGGTTTACCAAAAATACATTTTTGAAAATTGTTGTCAACAATCTTGGATTTAGAAATTAATGCTATATTCGTAATAAGCACTCTAAAACTCCTCGAAAACGTCTATAATTCTCAATCGTTACTGTCGATCGACAATGTCGAGCAAATCTGTAGGCACCTTATTAAATACTACCCAATTTTTTTTTAACTCATAGGTATATGAACAAAAACCTACAAGCGAGTTTAAGTGCCACTATCGAATTTAAATATATAAATAGCCTGATATTATCTGTGGGTATGTTTACATGAAGAGTACACGATAACAATAAAATACCTGAACCTGAAAGTTATTTATACACGATTTTGGAGAACTGACAATGACTTTTTAGTCAGTGTTAGTTTCCTGAAATAATTTTAGTTAAGAACTTTTGAGTCTGGGCAAGACAATTTTTTTTAAATGAGTGTATGATGAACAAGAATAATGATTTTTCACATGAAACTAATGAAGGCAAATACTAAATATATTTCGTAAAAATAGCTTACGTAAATTCCCTACAATGTTGTTGCGGCGGTGTACATTTGTAGAAATTTTGCAAAAAATACGTAATTTTGAATTTTGAAACAGAATAGCAAATGGGGAGAAAAAACCCGTTACTTTGCAACATTTTCGTATCTTGTTGCAACGAAATTAATTTTCTGTTTTAGTGAATATTTACATAAAAATACGAGTTGAAACGCGTTACTTCCTTGTGGAATGTGATGTTAGTGTCTATTTTACATTTGTCTGATCTATTTTTAAACCTAATTACCGCACATTTTGTCATTTGTAGCAAAAGTTTTTGAGCTGTTCGCGTTGCAACTTGACCTTGAGCACTGACAGCCCGCTCGCTCGTGTAGGCCCATAGGGCGCCCTACAATTTGCCTCACTTAGCGTGTGCGGGCTAGGTTTCTATGCGTTATTACTCTAAGAATAACGCACGCACCCATAGCCCCGCACTAGGGGTTGCAGGTGCCATGGACATACACATACAACAACAAATTACACCCAAACTCACGAGAGAAACAGATGTAGTTTGTGAACCGATTTTCATGATTCTTTTTTGTTGGAAAGAGGATATCTCCATAGTGATCCCATTTAATTTTGAAGAAAATCATCCACCTGGGGTGGCTGTTCACACATGTAGATTCATTTTTATAAATAGCGCTTTAATTTTATTATAAGCAGCAATTACTTTAATGGTTGATTTTGCTATTCTCCAATTCAAGGCGTTTTTCTCTCTCAATATACTTTGAGAAGTGAGAACCGATTTTTATTATATTTTAGTGGCGAACTAGGGGATGAATCCGGGTTTGCACACTACCCGATAACCGATTTCAATAAAACATGGTAATTATATGTAATTCCACGTACTTTTGAGGTCGGTTTTTTTAGTACTCTGTACTGCGATTATAATTAATTATTTTTTACATAGTTGATTCATATAAGTATGTATCTTTAAAGTGGACCCTTAAATAAATTCTAGGCCACAAAATGAACTACATATTGCTGATTTATTTGTAAAAGACCAAACTGGGCAGCGTCCGGGCAAGTTGCACAGAGACAGTCAACCTTTAAAGGGCGAATACCAGTATCTCCGTCCTTCCCTAACTGTCGAAGACGTACCTGAGACGATTGTTAAAAAAAAAACCTCTCCATCAAAAGACTTGTCTATGATTGCGTTACGGAGACCTCAGACAAATTCGTTCAGAAGTTATGAATATGCGAAACAACGTCCTACAATGACCGTTTCTGAGTACAAGATGAAGAATCTACTTGAGTTATTGGCAAAACCGAGAAACGACGTTTCCGATAAAGGTATCCAATGTAGTTTAAGATTCATACCGATTGTCATGCTAATAACACACAAATCCGGTAATAATTATTAATAAAACCGAGAAAATATGTTTCCGATAAAGGTATCCAATGTAGTTTAAGCTTCACGCCCATTGTCGTACTAATAACATACAATCCGGTAATAATTATCGACAAAACCGAGAAAAGATGTTTCCGATAAAGGTATCCAATGTAGTTCAAGCTTCATGCCGATTGTCATCTAATAACATATAAATCCGGAAATAATTATTGGTAAAACCGAAAAAAGATGTTTCCGATAAAGGTCTTCAAAAGTTTAACAAAACTTCACGGCGATTGTTATACTAATAACATACAAATCCGGTAATAATCATCAAAGCGGCAATGAGTAATGTTCAGGTTAGTTTTCTCTACCTGATTTCGGTGGTAATTTTTATTATTTAAGTATTCGAGTATATCATCATGAAATTTTAAAGAATATTTCAGGATAATTCCCTCGAATATTAGGTAATTCTTCTAGGTAATTAGGTGATGATATTCTAGAATATTTAAATTATAAAATTAATATATATAATTAGAAAACTAATCTGAAAATTATCAAACGTTTAAATTGATCATTACATCATCTTTGGGTAACTTTAGAGAGCTGACTTTATGGGCTTTTACTAGACTAGAATTTGGATTTCCTATGTTCGTGATCAACAGTAGTAAGTTAATGATTTAATAACAATATAATACTTTACATTAAATATAATATTTTTTAGGAATACGGCTGCCAGGTGATACGCCGCTCTATAGCCCGGCTGGTTCATTAATAGGTACGATTTTCAATTAAGTTTTACTTGCAACTGCAAAATTAATCAAACCCTAAGTGATAAAATAAAAGTTATGGTTTCTAATGAAGTTACAGCAAAAAAATTAAAAAATCATTGTAGTTATTTCAGTGTGTTTTAGCATACCGAAATTAACTTAAAAAGTGTATTTTTTCAGAATCGATGAAAAACGAATTACGCACTTTCCTTGAAAGGTTATTAAAATTTAAGTTTATTACAGACATCTAAACAATTTCATACTTGCTAGATAAAAATTAAAAATAAAAGGGAAAAAAGTCATGGACTGTTTTATCCAGAACCAGCTCACAAAAAGTTTTTCTCACTTTAAGTACCTAGTTATATTTTATTTGATTTTTCACAATATTCTAACGACGCCGACGGTTGTATTGATATGTAGAAATTAAAATTTAACATTTAGGAATAGTATAATCTTAAATTTCTCGTATTTTGAGTTACAACACTATTGTAGTACCAGTGCGATATGTAAAACGGCTAACTTCTACTGATCCTGTTGATATCTAAAGTAAGGTAATAAAGTTATGTTTGTTCTCAGGTCATTCATCGCCGCCTACAAAATCTCCCCTTCGAAAGTCTTTACAGGTATTTGGTATTGGTGTATATAAAGAAATAAATTATTACCAACATTTACAAGGGGGTACACGAAAGGAAGTACGCCTGGCGCATCCTGGGCAACAATCGGCGAGTACCTTACGCTGATTGGCAAATTCTTTCACCACGACGGCAAGCATTATAATGTATGCCTTCGATACGGTTAGAAGTAGAACATTTACAAGAGCAAGAATTTTCACTCGTCAGATTATGTGTAATATTTACGTTTTTTACTTTATTTTTCGACTAAAGTAGACGAAAGTCATTAATAATTTCATCGAAAATATTGAAAAAAAGTTATTACTTGTTAGATATATTTATATGTATTTTTATGCAAAATTATTAATGACATTTAAAAAATTATAAGTAGGTTACATTACACGATACTGCAAATTCCTCAGTAGCTTACGATGGATCGACTTCAACAATAGCTCGCAACTCGTCCTTAGCTCTGGCCGTCCAAGAGGCTCACATTAGCCGTGTCAATTTTGATATTAAACCGAATAGTCATTGACATGCGAATAGTACAAATTAACTAAAACGAATAAAAGTTCGTGCAGACAAAAATTTAAATTTAGAAGCCTTAAGAATTCAGGGCCAATTATTGATACAGGTCTTACGTGAGATACCCAGGTATCTGACGTTTGTTGCAAGGTAACCCACGCACTATGAGTTCTGTATGGGTTTAGGCAGTTTCTTCCCATTAAGATCAAAACTCTCCTTGTTCATGCTCTAGTGTCGCCTGTGATTTTATGTTATATGTATGTTGTCACTTACTTCTCTGTCACTCTTTTCTCCATTTTGTTCGATCTGGCAGCATTTTAGATGTTCATTTCAATTTCAAACCGCTCGGCGGGGATGCGAACTTCGATGTTTCCGTAGCCAAGCTCTCTATTCCTTCTCACCGTGCTGATATTTGTCTAGTTCTTTTGCCTTTCACGCAATTCGTCTTTGGAACGCGCTCCTGGTCCATGTGACAAGCGCAGACCAAATAAACGTCGAAGTGCATATGGCGCAAGCATCTTTTTGACAATTTTTTAAGATCAAAATTCAGCATAATGTTGCTGTGGGTACATTACATACTATTATAATAACTCTCAGCGCCACGTGGACCGCTGGCAGCCTGGCACATGTGCATATGGCACTAAATCCCAACTGCAGCAGGCCACCATGTACTTTCGAATTTTACCTAGCAAGCCTTAGTGGGCCGCCGGCGTACCACAATTAGGAATCAAAATTTATTTTCGATTTTTCTAGCCCTGACCAGGCAAAGGTTGCATCAGCAGGCTGACAATATAAGTTGTGCGTTCGGCGAACACAGCCAATTGTTTGCCTCTTCTTCTAACAACTGATCCAGATCGTAATCAAGTATCGATCTCGTCCCTAGTGGTGACATCTGTCTGTTTTTTATGGAATCACGAAGGTACCCACCGGCAGCAGCCCACATGGCCTGCTACAAAAGTTACTCGAGATCAGGCGTGGCGTGCTGTGAAAAAAAAACGCGTGTCCCGCCGGCAGCCCACAAGGTCTGCTACAAAAGTTACTGAAGATCAGGCGTGGCGTTTCAAAAGTTCCTTGAGATTAGACAGGCCTGCTGCTTCGAAAAATCGTTTATTCTATGGCGCTGATCACAGATATGTCTGTAGAGCTGATAGTGTTAATGTTTATGTTATATTATATTTATTTAATCTTCTTACGTTTTCGTGATTGTTACACATAGGCAGGGCGGGGCAAAATATATGCTACGTCTTAATTGAAATACAAATTACAAAATACTTCCTTATATGTATTTAAAATGCGAAATACCAAATACTTTCTTGAGATGTATTTGAAATACAAAATACTTTCATGGAGTGTACTTATTTAAATACAAAATACAAATACATATTTCAAAATACTTTATTAATATACCTGTCGCGACATGTGGAAACCAACAACTTCCTTCAAAGTTTTTTCCTTCCACAAAACATCTTGAAAAAGAGTATTTGTACCCGCGTCAAAGAACATATAGCCGATATCAAACACCGTCGCGTAAACAAGTCTGCAGCCCGCGAGCATGTTATGGATAAACCTACATATTCAATGAAGTTTGAGAGACCCCAAGTGTTTGCAAAAGAAGTCCGTTATCTACCCAGGATGCTGGAGAGGCCATTGAAATTAAAAAACATCCAATTTCAACAGGGAAGATGGTTTCTCTGTCTGGTTTCCCAAACAGACATAACACTGCAGCACTCATTAATATGTTTTAATTTATTCTAATTTCTATTATTAATTAAAAATGAATAATGATCTTAATAAAAATTCATTCATTTGTTATAATTATTAATACAAAGATCGAACACTCAGAAAAAACACTCAGAAAAAATTCCTTCGATCCGGTCGGATTCGAACCGACGTCTTCTTGCATACCGTGGCAGACGCTATACCAACTAAGCCACGGAACGAACCAACGGACCTCACAAATTTTTCTATGTGCTTGCGTCGTGTCTTTGTACTTGGTCTTTCAACGACTTTTTAGTCGTAGCGCCATCTATGAGAAATCTATTGCAGATTTATCACCCAGTTAATACCTTTACAGCTACCAGTCCTGGCGAGAGATGTCGCTATTCACTGTATTAATTAAATTTTTATTGAATTGATATTCAATTATTTTTTGTGAAATTACTTCACTAGTTTGTTATAATTATTAATACAAAGATCGAACACATGTACTACACTACCCTGGGCAAGTTATTTTAAAAGATGGCCCATATAATCAAGATTTCAAAATGGTACAATACTTGCCACTCTTCATTCCATAAAAAAATATTATAACTTATTTTTTGCAAAAGGATCTCGTTTCAAAAAAAACTCATGCCATGATAAATAATACTTTTGTGTGCTCAACGATTGGCTTTAACATCGCGGAAGTGAGATGGTCATATGTGATAGAGTGAGATGCCTGAAACATGATATTAGTATGATATTAGTTAGTACTTAGCAAAACTAACACGTTTCGCGACATGCCGTATCTGTACACAGCGGAAGAATATGCGAACATGCATATTATTTACGGTGAATGCCATTGTAATGCCTCTGCCGCAGCCAGATTGTATCGCAAAATTTTATGGACTGACGAAGCAACATTTAAAAAAGATGGTTATTTAAACTTGCACAATGTACATGACTGGAATCAACATGTGGACCGGAATTTTAAATGGACAAATAATTGGACCGTTTGAGTTGCCTGATACATTAAATGGCGACAACTACTTAGATTTTCTTCAAAACGATTTGCAAACGTTACTAGAAGATGTACTACTCAACATCTATAGAGAAATGTGGTTTCAACAAGACGGTTGCCCAGAGCATTATGCTCGTTCTGTGCGTGATTATTTAAACACGGAATATTCCGGAAGGTGGATTGAGCGCCTTGGTTCAATTTTGTGGCCTCCTCGATCTCTGGACCTAAACTCCCTTGATTTTTTTTACTGGGGCTGCATAAAGGAACAAGTATATGCAAAACCTATAGAAAATCTAGCCCAATTACGCCACAAAATTGTTGAAGCAGCAGAAGAAATTAGTTTGAGAAGATTCGCACGATTGATAAAAAGATCTTTTGTGAAGCGATGCAGAGCCTGTATTCGTGCCGAAGGCAAACAATTTGAGCATTTACTTTAACATTAAAGTATTACAATAGTTCCTTTCGTTTCATTTTGATTAAAATTTATTATAATACAACAATCGACTAATTATTAACTTGACACACTCACATGTGTTAGGGTAGATTATTTTGTTTAATGCGTTGTCACTATCCATCTCATTCTATCACATATGACCATCTCACTTCCACGATGTTAAAGCCAATCTTTGAGCACACAAAAGTATTATTTATCATGGCATGAGTTTTTTATAAAACGAGCTCCTTTTGCAAAAAATAAGTTATAATATTTTTTATGGAATGAAGAGTGGCAAGTATTATACCATTTTGAAATCTTGATTATATGGGCCATCTTTTAAAATAACTTGCCTAGGGTAGTGTAGTACATTTTTTTTGAAATATGAAGTGTCAAAGCTAGCTGACATATTTTTTGTAAGCTACGACTCAATGAAACTTATTTTTTATTTTTACTAAACTCATAACGTTTATTGTTTGATTTGTGACTGCAATAAATAGCATGGTTATTTATGATGACGATAAAAAAAATCACTCCAAAATTTGAAAATTTGTGATGATAGTACCTAAACATGTGGTCTAGGGTATCGATTTTCAACATTTTCAAAAAAATGCCTATTATCACTTAACTAAGTGACATGGAGTTTTTTTTTAATTTTTACCAGAACTGATATAAACTGGCCTCTCGCCCAGTGATCGCTTGACGTTGAGTTTTGGGACACCCTGTATATTTATATTGTTCACGTTTCCCGCTCGGATCCGGATCTACCATCAGGTTTAATCCTGAAACCTATAAAATTCGGTCAATTTCTGAAAACCCGCAAAATTGCCAATATTTGTGCTGATGGAGTGAAACGAGTTGGCAGAAACAAAATTTCTGTCGAATTCGGCCAATGACGCAAACAATTTCCTCTCCTTACCCATTTTGGCCATGTGCAAATATTCTGCTATTATTCCAACATATAATCTGACTCGCATAGGTTTGATCCGACAAGTCCCTACAGACTTGACCATGACGGAGTTTGCGGAATCACTAGAGTTGCCATCGGGTTGTGGCAAAGTTCTAAAGGCTACAAGATTAAATAGGAAAACATCAGAACATGGAACAGTTACATGGGTACCAACACAGACAGTAGTTGTTACATTTCTTGGCCAACTCCTTCCCTCCAGGTTATTTCTGTATTACACTTCTCTCTCAGTTGATGTATATCAATACCCCACCATTCAGTGCCACTCTTGCTGTAGGTTTGGCCATACTAAAGCTCAGTGGAGATGGACTAAACCCAGATGCTTCAGATGCACCAAAGACCACTCTGGTGATTCTTGTCAAATGGTAGAGAATGAAGCTACATGCTTGCACTGCTCCGGACGTCATTTTGCCATAAGCAAAAACTGCCCGGAACTGGACAGACAAAAATCGATCACGACCGTTATGGCACTAAAAAGCAAAATTTCAGGAGCTGACTGGCCTTCATATTCTTCCTCTCTAGAGACAGCTCCAAAGACCTCTTCGATTTTCCCAATAGATACCGACCCGCTTTCCTCCTATAACATTTTTGTGGACTGTGTTACTGCTTCTGCCTATCGGCATATCCCCATGAAGAAGCCTGCTAGAGGATTCAAAGTCTCAACTCCGTGGTGGAATTCAGAATGCTCGGAGGCTGATGTAGAGCGACGACAGGCAGAGCAGAACTACAACTCCTCTATGACTCAGGCAAATTTTATGGCTTATCAAAAATCTTCAGCCAACTTTAAAAAACTTACCCAAAAAAGGAAAAGGAATAACTGCATAGGTTTTTGCAAATGTCTGTCCCCAAAGACCCCTCCTTCTCTCGTCTAGAGACAGATAAGGCGATTTAGGGGTTCATGTAATGCAGTCGATATACCAGCCAATGTCCCTTAATCATGGCTAGGGGTCTTTTCGGACAGGCTCGCTCCCTCCTCAGTTCCTGATTTTGACTCCATTCCGTCTCCCCATCCTACCTCCCTTCTCAATCTACTATGGATCATCCTTTCTCCATAAACGAACTATATTTTGTACTGAACGGACTTACTGACTCATCCCCTGGTATCGACGGTATCCCCTACTCCTTCATCACCAACTCCTCTCCTTTATCAAAACAATTTTTCCTTAATATCCTAAATTACTTTTTTGATTATGGTTCAGTCCCAGCCCAATGGAAAACACAAATAATTATTCCTATCCTTAAACCTGGCAAGGATCCTTCAGATCCTAGCAGTTACAGACCCATTGCTCTCTCCCCCACCCCTGGCAAGATTATGGTACATCTGATAAAACAAAAGCACCAATGGCTAGTTGAGAACAGAGACATCCTAGCTAAAACACAGTTTGGTTTTAGTAAGGGTTTCAGCACGATGGACGATCTCAGTTTGCTAACGACTGAAATCCATACTGCTATCAAGGAAAAGAAAGTCCTTGTTGGGGGTTTCTCCATATCGCCTCAGCATATGACAACGTCTTGCTTTCGGTACTCAGGATAAAACTCACCCAGCTGAGTATTCCTAAAAAGCTCGTGCATTTTATTTCCAACCTTTTAATGGAGTGTCGTGTGGTAGTAAAATCTTCCTTAAATTTCCTGTCCCCGAAAATCGTTTGGAAAGGTCTCCCCCAAGGATCTGTATTAAGCCCATTGCTCTATAGTATCTATACTTACGACCTGGAGTCATCTGTCAATTCATTCTGCGACGTTCTCCAATATGCTGATGACCTGGCTCTATATATTAAAGTAAGTACTATAGAAGAGGCAAAAAGTAGATTTAACTCGGCTCTGTCATACCTAAATGACTGGAATGAGTGGACTTCCAAAAGTTGTGCCATAGTCTTCTCCAGGAAAAGAATTGTCCCTACGATTGAAATACGCATAGGTCAAGAAATCGTTCCACAATTAAATTCAACCAAATTTTTAGGTATCAAGCTAGACTCCAGAATGTCCGGTCCCTTTGTTTTCAAAATGGATCAGAATCGAGAACAGTGTTGCCTAACGTATACATCACTAAATGTTAAATTTTGCCAAAAAAAATGTACAAGCGGCCGTACCACAGAAACGAATGCATTATGCAAAAGTGCGTTCGTTCGATATTCGTGGCGTATTAACAAAGGATCACAAATATATCGCACCAAGTAAAAGCCGCAATGTATTACAAAACATGCGGCTATACTGAGCTGCATTATATGTTTTCTCGAAATTCATACAACACCAAAATAATTGTTTTTACACTTGCCCGTGAAAGGAAACGTCCCTGTTTACCCGTTTACCCACAATTGTGGTGCTTTTGCAATTTATAATGGCACAATTATGCGTTTTTCGCATTTTCAACTGATGTTTATCTACGACAACGGTCTAGCGCGTTCTGAAGTGTAGCAGCGGCAAGTAAGTGAATTACGTACACTTGCGGCGTCTATCTAGATCAGGGGTTCCCAAACTTATTTTGTCTACTGCCCACTTTGAGAATAAATTATTTTTAGCGCCCCCAGTTTTCACGTACATATAAACCACTATAACTTCATATTAAATTAATTATTGTGAGCTATATTAGCGGAGATTAAACATTCATTCTAAACGAGACTTTTTACTATAACTTGCGGCCTGAGCGCAGTAGTTAGTACACAACGGCGCTCAGGTCTCAAGTTAACTCTTACGGGCTACATCTGCCAATGAGAATAATTATTGAAACGCAACTTTATAGTATTCAGACAGAGTATCTTTCAATCAAAATTAAACAAACAAAATCGATTCTAATATAAAAACTAATTTCGAATTATGAATCTGATGCTGTTTAATAAGTTTGTTGATATCAGGTAACAATTTACTCAAGAACAGCCGCAAGTCACCACGTTCAGTAACATGCAAACGATTCCTCTTTTTAGTAAGCAGCGTTGTCACAGCACTAAAACCACGTTCACACAAATATGACGATGGGAATGCTATCAAGAATCGTTGAACGATTGACCACAATCCAAGGTACATTTGCGGGATCGGTTTTTGTAGCCAAAATTTTTGGTAGTCATTTTTGAAATTGATTTTTATTTCCTCATTCATTGTCAATTCTATAAGTTCTTCTTCCAGCTGAGGTGATATTGCTGTGTTGACATTTGAAAACGGATCCAACACCCAGTCTGGTATTTCCAAGTTCAAAATGTCGTGGTATCGTTCGGTGAAGTCAAAGTGGAGGTTTTCCAAATGTTGACAGTAGGCAAACAAGTCGTCGTTACTGCAGGATACTGATAAATTCGAAAAATTGTGAAACTCACGTCTGCCCATCATATTCTTTTTGTGTAAAAGCAGTTTGGCTGCGAAAGTAGCAACGACATTTTTTGTTTTAATTAAATTTAGTTCATCGCCTTGCAGTTGGAGATTCATGTCGTTGAACAATTTGTACAGGTCTGTCATGTAAGCTATATCATTCTTTGATGTAACGAGCTTGTTACCCAATTCTGTATCTTTAATTTCCAAGAACACTGAGTCAAACAGGTTGTAAAATCGAGTCAGACAATTGCCTCTTGATAGCCAACGAACTTCAGTATGAAACAACAAACGGTTGAAATCTTCTTTATTAGTAACACAAAGCTGATGAAATAATCTACCATTCAAAGAGCTGTTACGGATTTTATTGACTGCTTTGATGACATATTGCAGTGATTGAAATAGTCGTTCACTTAAATTTCTAGCAATCAAATGTTGTCTATGAATAACGCAATGTACAGCAAGGACATCTGGAATTTTATTTTTTAAGTACGTTATGAAGCCTTTATGGCACCCTGTCGTAGCTGGAGTGCCATCCGTAGCAACTGATATAATATTTTTCAAGGGATTCTCTTTCTCATCACAAAATAAATAACCCTTTAGGCCTGTATCGCCCACATGGGGCGTCATCGCCCACTTTGGGAAAGTCTGATCTAGATATATGTCTGTGTAAAACACGTTTTTGGTAGCCCATACAGTTTTGGAGGATTTACGCAGCAGGGTACAAACTCACTTACCTACATCAAGTTTCAGCGTATCGGAGTGCTTAGATATTAACTTAGTTGTTTTTAATATCTTGGTGGTAGGGTCTTTTTTCATCTTTTTATACGTGCTTTCATCCGATAGTAAGTCAGATATTGTGCTTTATAATCACACGTATTATGTCCACCGTTGCGTTACCTTTATCTGCACGGAGGATGTCCAATTCGGGATCTTCGCGGAAGGCCTTCAGCGCGTTATATCCATCTCGAGAAAGATTCGGTCTGGGCTGTTTATTTGAACGCAATATTGACGAAACGTCTTGGCATATATTATATAAACTTTTGTGACTTTAGTGAAAGAATAGGGTGGTTTGCATTAATATTAAGACATAACTGGTTGATGACTTTACCACCTCAGTTGATGACTTTACCACCTCAGTCAGCCGTGACCATAGGACCTGTAAAGGATCCGAAACGTTGGTTTGTTTGAAAAAACAAATATACGCGGTTTAAATCCGGAAAAACAGTTTCATTCACCAACCATTGTTTTTTTCTGTTTGGCTCAATGGTTGACTGGTAGAGAATGCCTTATGGCATTAAGTCCGCCATTTCTACTTTAAGGTATTGTGCAAAAAAGTTTAAATAAATTTGTAACAAGTACTATAACTTATCGAGAAAATCGATATACATATAACCGATAAAATATATCAATAAGATTATCAATATGCACGTTTTGATGACACGTCATAAATTTGGTATAAAATGAAAAAAAAAGTTTTAAATCTATTTGAAGAACAAATGCAAGAGTCAATTGCGTCAGTGTTCTAGTACACTGTTGAGTTCGGACATTTTTGGCGAGAAAGCAGCAGGCTCTAACTTCTTGCCATTTCAGATGTATAGTATACCTATTGCACGTTTAACATATTGTATTTATATTTATTTTGCAGAAAATATCAAATACTCTGCTACCCGTGTTGTCTGAAGAAATACCCGTAGTACGAACTTTAGATACAGATGAATGTGTTGTTCCTTTATAAACTTTATAGGTTTGTACTTGTATCCCTTATTATTTATTCTTGATTGTTTTTTTTTGTAATTATTACCTATTGTTATTTAATTGATTATTCTATTATTCAAAACCTTAAAATTGTTCTATTTTTATGAGACTTACTAAAATTTCTTCATGGAGTTTTGTTCGTTTTGTTTTATATTGATATAATTCTATAAACCTACATTGCCTTTTATTTTTCTTGAAATAAACGTAATCCTAAGGGAAAACGTTTTATTTTTTCTATTTAAGGTGGGTAGCCTTTACGTTCGCACACCAACTATACTCCGAGCATCTCCAATATCGGAAGTTGCAAATTCTAGTAGCAATAAAGCTCGTTGTGAAAACGTTCTTCCAGGGAAGTACTGCCACTTTACCGATTTCTGCAGCCAAGCAGTAATGTCAACAAATCTGCGTTCCGGTTATGAAGGGCAGGGGTGCTGGTGAAATTACAGGCACATGGGACTTGTCAACTTATATCTCAGGGTTAGGGCGCAATGGCACATCGAGCAGTGGCAATTTGCCCCTCCGATCTTTGTGGTTTAACGCTCTGCAACTATTATGAACAGACTCGCTTACCACCAAGCCCGCGACTTGTTCGTCCCGTCATTCACATGGTATTATAAAAAATATATATATACCAAAGACACCTCAAATTGCCTAAGTCAGGACGCGACACACACGACGTTGCGATGAAACGTAATGTATAACAAACTTTCCATTTTTCAACTTCATCTTCTATAAATAAAAAAAAAATAGGAATGCACGAATTTTACAAAATGTAATGTAATATAGACGACATACTGCATAGATACAGTTGAATGCAGAACATTTCTTTGAATGCCAAATAACATACGAGTAAAACTATACCTAAACCGAGGTTCATTTTTATCAATTTTGAAATTTAAGCGTCTATAACTTCTTATCGAATGTCGAATTATCGGTTTTTAACTAGTTCTCACTGAAAACGTTAAAAGAACAAACAATTTTTTAATACTTTTTGAGAAAAAAAAAACAAAAACAGCGTGATTTAAGTTATAATTGATTTGATGTTACTATGAAACCCCCCTTTTGGTGCATGAATATTGAAAGTAATTACTATCCTAATTTTTTAATTTTAATAAAAAAAATTAAAGATCAGTCAACAGGGAAAAAAGTTAATGCTGATTTTATATCTTAGGGTAACTTTGATCGAATAAAACTACCTAATATGACATACCCTTTGTTTTAATTATGATTGTTGACTGTAACAGTCACAGACCACATAGTGGTAACAGTCTTCTACTACGTCACTTGATGACAATAAAATCTGCAAAAATCAAATTCAAACAAAATATTAATAAAAATCTCCTTATAGCTTACAACTAGACAAATTCTTTTACCTTACATCTATTTATAATTTCTATAAGTTCACAAAATGAGACCAAAATTTAAAAAAGAAATCATTCTAAGCAGCCCTTGTGACTAACAAAATTGTTAATTCAAGGAAGTTCTAAAGTATTCATATCAAATTAAATTTTTATTGAATTGATATTCAATTATTTTTTGTGAAATTACTCCACTAGTTTGTTGTAATAATTAATATAAAGATCGAACACTCAGAAAAAATTCCTTCGATCCGGTCGGATTCGACCCGACGCGACGTCTTCTTGCATACCGTGCCAGACGCTATACCAACTAAGCCACGGAACGAACCAACGGACCTCACGAATTTTTCTATGTGCTTGCGTCGTGTCTTTGTACTTGGTCTTTCAACGACTTTTTAGTCGTAGGTATGCAAGAAGACGTCGGTTCGAATCCGACTGGATCGAAGGAATTTTTTCTGAGTGTTTTTTCTGAGTGTTCGATCTTTGTATTAATAATTATTCATATCAAAGTTAAACTGAACGCAATCACTATTATCTTCACCAGCAAAAGTTCGAGGCCTTGACAAATAGCTTAAAATATCAGTCTCTTCAATTTGTGCTATGTCGTCACGTACACGTCTAAAGTCTTTTTTATATCCCATCGTTTTAAAACCTTTGACTAATAAGGGGTCCCCCAGTCAGGTAATTCGCCAAACATATTTGTAAGTTTTCTTTCCTCGACGTGAGAAAAATTTTGCCAAGACAAATCTCCCTATATCTAAATGTTCTTGTGCCTCTGAAACCGGATTTTTAGACTCGCTGGCCTCATCTGTAGGAACCAGATCACGCGGTACCTCTTCAACATTATTTGATGGTAAGTTTTCTTGATCCATATTAGAAGCATTTAACTCATTGGCATCTTCAGGCGCAAGTGTGTCAACTGCATTAGCAGTAGAGACGCTAGCACTTGGCTCAACATTTAGTCTTGTCATTCTTCTAGGACCTACTAATAGACCACCGCCACCGTAACGCTCTTCTCTGAGATGTCAGTTAAACAACTTACAACTTTATTCGTCGGGTCGCTATTTAGAACAACAAAAAATTTTATTATGAATCCACAAATGTATGTACGTACAATAAATACTCTTTGGATTCCATCCAAAAAATTCATGATACTAACCTTAGAGGATGGATAAAAATAAAAGAAAGGAGCTGCCCTAAGTACAGAATCAACGTGCATATTACCAAAATTTGAGAGTTACAAATGGCGGATTTCTTTAGTGTTGTACCATAATCTATCGATAAGTCATTATCGACATGCAAATGTATGGCTTGAATTTTTGTTTCTTTAGTTTACTGTAACCAAAGTATGCCTAAACAAACACAAGTCTGATAATTTAATCTCGAGTGGTATATTATTATAAATGTCAACACACATTTTTAAACTTAAAAAAAATTTATTTTCAACATTACAACTGGTAACTTATTTAGTAAAAGTCACCAAACTGCTGTGCAGTTTGTTGGCGACATGCGCATTCTTGCTTAATTATACCTACTTTAC